AAAGATGCCAGCACATCACCAGAAGCTCCAGAAGATGCAAGGAACAGTTTCTCACAGACCTCAGAAGGGACCAACCTTTTTTACCCCTTGACATTTCTAGCCTCCAGAAATATGAGACAATAAATTTCTTTTCTTTAAGCTATCCAGCTTGTTTTGCAAATTTATAGTAACCCAAGACAATTAATACAAATTAGTTGTGTTCATTGAAACAAAAGGTACACTCAATGTAAATATGTCTGATGAAAAATATGAATGTAATTAACTGATATGTTTTGTTCAAAATAGTAAAGCCTGTTTTAAGCTAAGAGTCTAAAAATCAAAAACACATTTAAAAGTAATAATATTTTTTTCATGTTTTCAAAATCAGACGGCTGCTAAATGTAAGATGTAAAAGTCGCATGTGGAAAACTAAGTTTCTATATTGTTTTGATTTAGGAAATTAAACATAATTATGTATTTAATGTAAATATTTTAATTTGCTGAACTGTAGACAATAATTAGTTGTGTAGAATTCCCTAACTATAATTTTTAGCAATTAGTTTCCAAGAATCTAATTTTCCAAGTATCCAATTTTCAAGGAGATTATAAAATAATGACCAGCTATAGATACACAGTACCATATTATAGAAGTCACTAAATACAATATCTAAGTATGTGTCCAGGAAAATAATAAACTAAATGGAAGAGTAGTTTTACCAGAAAATGGATTTTCATTTTGAAATAGGATACTTTTTGTTTTAGACTAAACAAAGGTTTTTATCATACCGAATTAAGTTTGGAAAAATTTTGGCAGCTGTTCAGTAATGAACTTTAAAAAAGCAATTTCATTTTTAATCTTGGATTTCTTAGAGATATTTTTGTTTGTTATTTTCTATGGAGTATGACTGTCCATTTTGATCAATGCCATATAAATCAATATATTATAAACTCTTTCAAAATTTTTTGAGACAGTATCAGAATTTAAGTACAATATGAAAAGTATTTGCAAAGTCAAATAATTAAATATGTAATTCAACCATCTTTATATTGTGGAAATAATTGTCTAAATTCATAAGAATAATAATGTCAACCTCAGTTAATTCTAATAAAACAACTTGAATCTTCCATACTCCCTGTTAACAAAACTATTGTTTTATAAAGAATTTCACTCATTTAATTACCAATGCCTCTTTTATATGTGAAATACTGAATTGACATCCAATTTGTTTTATTTCTATAGGAAATATTTATTATGGTACTGATAATAATTAATGACTCAGAAAGAGGCTCAGAGCTTTTATTCCTGGTTCCAATGGATATTTTTAAACTTAATCAAGGGCAACAATAATAGCTTCTTCACCTCTGATCCAAAGCTTCTTAATTTTTAGCTTTTAAGACCTAATTATAAAAAAATTGATGGAAAATAGTTTAAATGTCTTCCAATTTATTTTGACTTTCCATTTTAATGAACATTCTAGCAAGTCAGTTTTATAGTCTGAAAACTTTTTTACAATGTAATTCAATTTACTTGATGGCAACAGTATTAATATTTTGAACTGAATATTGTTTACTGTGTTTTCAACAGCAGACAAAGGTGTCAGACATTCCTTTAACCTATTTGATGATTTCAGTTTTTCACTATTGCAAGTTAATAGTAATTTGCACCTAAATATATTATGAAAAATTTTCTTTATTATGACTATGCATTTTCTAGATATACATATAAATTTCCTTTATTTTTGATAAAAAGTGTAGTTTATTTTCATGCATATTAAATAAAATCAATTGTTTTCTCATTTCTTCATGACTATAGAAGTCAATGCTAAATTTATAAATATAAGGAATATATGCATAAATCATCATATGGTCCATCTTATTAAAACAGCTCTAGTTTTTGTCTCTGTCTTCTTACTTCCTGACCTTTCTCTCTCTCCCTGACAATTTTCCACTCATAACATTAATTTAATTTGAAGTAATACATATAAAAATCCTATCTCCTTAAAAGTCAGGAGACATAATATTTATCTTTGACTTTTTTTTTTTTATTTTGCCAATTTGTAAAATTTCCTTACATTAGTTTTCTTGTTTATTAAACTAGATTTGACTACGTATCAATACTAATTATTTATAAAATATCTTCTTCTTACAATGTTGGTTAATTTTATTTTTGTACAGTAGAAAATAAACTTTGTTATAATTAAGGAAACCAAATCCAACAATATAAACTGGACCTAAATAATATGGAATAAAATTTGTAAAATACGGCAACTTTTTTATCAATATAAGTTATGTTACATGAGGGTAAGAATAACTCCATAATCTTGGTGGCTCTATAAACACTTATTTCCTATTCAGATAAATTTTGACATAGGTCCTAGTGATACTATACTCAATTATCAAAGCAAAATTAGTTGCTTTCATTTTCAGCTTGTTAAATTACATAAACAAGAGGCCATTGGCTTGAGAAGGTCTCTTAACTAAGTTTCTATCTGTTAAACTGCAACTTAAGTTAGTACCTAAAAAGCTGAAACCTGATTTAGGAATCCAATTTTTGTAACATATATGTGGGTCTCAGCCAATCACTAGCAGCCAGGTTCCAGCCAATCACAAGCTACCAACTGTTCAGACCATTTCCAAATAAGTCAAAGGCCTAGCTTTAACCAGTTATTTCTATAGTTAACTCCACTTTCTGCCTATAAATATTCACTGCAATTAGGAGATGGGATCTCTGAACCTGTATCTGGTTTTGAGTGCTGTCTAACTAATTATTTTTCCCTCAGATAAAATATTAAATTTAATGTTATCATAAGTTTGTCTTTTTCCATATAAATATATGGGGTACAAGGGCAATTGTGTGCCATACGTAGATTACATGCTGGTCAAGTCAAGGCTTTCAGAGTATCTACCACTCAAATAATGTGCATTGCACTCATTGAGAACTTTCTGATTTTCTACCCACTTTAAGCCCCTCATCCTTCTAAGTCTCAATTGTCTGTCAGTCTGCTCTCTATGTCCATGTGTGCACGTTCTGTGCCCACTTAACAGTGAAAACATGTAATATTTGTTTGTGTCTGGCTTGTTTCACTTTAAGTAATAGCCTCTGGTTCCACCCATGTGTCTGCAAAATATGTGACTTAGTTTTTTCTCTATGGTCAAATTGTATTCCATTGGGTATATATGCCATATTTTTTTTTTCAGTCATCCTCTGATTAACATTTAGGTTGATCCCATATTTTTGCTACTGTGAATGGTGCTGCAATCAACATATGAGTGCAGGGATTCTTTGATATATCGATTTTTTTTCCCATTGTGTAAATACCCAGTAGTGTGGATTGCTGGACTGAATGGTAGTTCTATGTTAAGCTCTTTGAGAAATTTCCGAATTGTATCTACTCTTTGCCATGAAGGTTATACTAACTTGAATTCCCACCAACAGTGTATCAGTTCCCTTTTCTCTGCCTCCTCACCATCTGTTGTTTTTTGACATTTTAATGGCAGCCATTCTGACTGAAGTAAGATCATATCATCCCACTGTGGCTTTAGTTATTCCCTTGATGATTAGTGATGTTGAGCATTTTTTGGGTACACGTTGGCCGTTCGTATGTCCTCTTCAGGAACAATAAAAGTCTATTCATGTCCTTTAACAACGTTTTAATAAGGTTATTTTTGGGTTTTGTTTTGGTTATTGAGTTTGAGTTTCTTGTGTATTCTAGATGTGAGTCCCCTGATGAATGCACAGTTTACAGTATTTTCTCTTATATCTCACTGAGCTTCTTTAAAGTTCATACAATAAATTATTTGAGATTTATTTCTAGTTAGAGTCTATTGCTAGAGAATTAGTGTGTGTTCTAGATAATGTCTTGTGACCTTGCCTTTTCATGTTGCCTATGCCTTTCCATTAATTGCAGTGCATCTGAAGCAACAGTCACTCTTATTTTTGAGTTTACTTTTGCTGTGGGGGTGGGTGTTTTACCTTGAAGATGTGTCTATGATGTTGGCTGAGTTGCTTGGATGTCTGGATTTCCTTTTGGTGGATACGTTGGCGAAGACTTTATATAACTTACTTGGCTATAAATAGCCTTAGTGCCATTGGTATCTGTGTTTGCCTTAGTGTGTTAAATGTGGTTATTTGTGGAGACTGCGGTGAAGTTGTGCTGAGAACTAGAATGCCAGATAGGTCCTTCTTCATGTTTCAGTGGTAGCGGTTATGGGGCAAATATATCTATCCTTGTGATCAGGGACAGCATATGTTAGCGCCTGTTTGGTGGCTCCAGACAGGCCGGTTCTTGAGACTCTGGGTGACTTTCTCAGAATCTAACTATAGTAGTGGTGCACTGAGTGTGTAAGTGGGCTTGCAAGCTACTGAGCAGCTGTTTGATGTAGGCAATAGTGGTATTGGTGGTAGTGAGACTCTAAGTTCCTAAACTTTTTGCTCTGGTGCTGGAATTGGTTGTAATGGGCCATGTGGACTAGGCTTCAGGTCAGTAAGGTGGTGCTTTCAGGTAGAAGCCAGATAAGGTGGTAGCAGAAGGGTGTTTATGTCTGACCTCTGACCCCTGGGAGAACTGCACAGGTGCCCCAGGAGGTGGGCTGGGGTGTGGATTCCTCAGACCCATGTCCCGCCCTCTGTCTCAGAGGGTGAAGCAAACCCAGGATGAGTTGGACCAGACCAGCCTGAACTCAGACCTCCCAGTGGCAAGCGTCTGCCAAGCTGTGACAAGCTGTGACGGGAGTGAGGGGCAGTCCTCAGATCCTGGCAAAATGCTGGAGGGGCAACGGCTCCTACCCCAAGGTCCTCCCCATGCGTGGGTGTTGGGGCTGCTGGTTCCAGCAACTGCAGCATTGGCTGGCGAGTGTGGAGCTGTGCCCATCTCCCACCCCAGTGCTGGCGGAGCTCCTTATTCCAGTTCTAGCAGCTGGCCTTGAAGTTCTGTTCAGCTAGGCAGAGTGTACTTAGCTCGTAACTAAGCCCTGGTTCCTATGAGCACCTGCCCAGCTCAGTGCAGGTGCTCAGTTGCCATCGTAGCAAAAGAGAGGTTCTCTCCCCTCACGACCAACCTGATCAATTTGCTTGCTGAAAATGGTCGCTTAAACAATACCCAAGGAATTGTTTCTGCCTTTTCTACCATGATGAGTGTCCACCGCGGAGAGGTGCCTTGCACAGTGACCACTGCATCTCCTTTAGAAGAAGCCACACTCTCTGAATTAAAAACAGTCCTGAAGAGCTTCCTAAGTCAAGGCCAGATACTGAAATTGGAGGTTAAGACTGATCCGTCAATCATGGGTGGAATGATTGTGCGCATTGGAGAGAAATATGTTGACATGTCTGCCAAGACCAAGATTCAGAAGCTGAGCAAGGCTATGCGGGAGGTTATCTGAAAGTGGTGTTCTTCTGCCATCAGTGAAAATTCTTAAACTTGGAGCAACAATAAAAAGCTTCCAGAACAGAAAAAAAAAAAAAAAAAAAAAAGCCTCCGTGGCAACTCTCATTCTGCTCAGGTCCTGGGGGAATTTGTCTGGCTCCAGGGCTGGTGGCTGGAGCCCATCCTAGGCTTGCTTGTCAGCCCTGGTTGTAGGAGACCATCAGTTCAATTCAGGCCACAGTTCATTAGTTCAGGCCCCAGTTCAACAAGCTACAGCTCAAGTTTCCATAATATCCCAAATTGGTACTACTGGTTCCCAGGCCTGAGTGTAAAAGCTAAGACCAAGAATGTCTTCTTACTGCAGCAGCTTAAGTTTAGGGAGGATGTAGGACCCAGGACACGTTCTTTCCCTAGAGCGGTTCCTTCTCACAGTCTTCTGGCCCTTCCCCAAGTCAAGTCAGTGCTTGAGGAGGTCAAGGTGAATTCTCATGGCCTGGATTGTACAATTCCCCAGTGGGAAAATGGACCACAGAGAGACACTTACCCACCCTCTCCCACACTGGGGATTTACTCCCAGATCCCAGATGGCCCAGGCCATGTATGCTGCCTGTTCTCTTCCTTCTCTCACAATTTTGGAGTTTCCTCTCAATTCTCTGTTGACGTGGCTTGTTCTGCCTTGGATAACTCATAATAAAGAGTATATTTTTGTGCCAGGTGCGGTGGCTCACGCTTGTAATCCCAGCACTTTGGGAGGCAGAGGCAGGTGGATCACAAGGTCAAGAGATCGAGACCATCCTGGTCAACATGGTGAAACCCCGTCTCTACTAAAAATACAAAAAATTAGCTGTGCATGGTGGCGCGTGCCTGTAATCCCAGCTACTCAGGAGGCTGAGGCAGGAGAATTGCCTGAACCCAGGAGGCGGAGGTTGCGCTGAGCCGAAATCGCGCCATTGTACTCCAGCGTGGGTAACAAGAACGAAACTCCGTCTCAAAAAAAAAAAAGAGTATATTTTTGTTACAAGTAGCTGAGTCTCAGACAATCACAGCAGCCAAACTTCAGCCAATTGAAGGCTGCCAACTGATCAGATTGTGTTTATATGAGCCAAATGCTTCTTTAAATCATGCCTAAATAAGGCAAACACTGAGCTATAACCAATGAAGCTGTTTCTGTATGTGCACTACCTATTTCTGTTTTTAAATACTGTCTACCCACTTTGCTGGGTGGAGCTCCCTTAACCTCTACTATTTCTTAGTGCAGCGTGATTCATGAACTTTACTTTGCTCAAATAAACTCTACTAAATTGAATTTATCTAAAATTTTTTTTCAACATTTTCAACTTCACAGGCGAAATGGAAGTCAAATTATAAAAACCAGTAACCTTTCCAAGTTTAGACTGTGTATTAATGAAAGAGAATCCTGAAAAAGGTATATTTTATAAACTCAATTTTCCCCATGGTGTGCTTAGTTTAACGTCCAAACCTGAAATGTGTGTTACCAGAGTTGTATAAATTGACCCAAACATGATTGAGGGCAGGGTGTTTTATATTTAGAATGCTATTCAGGAAAGATATGTATTAATATAACAAATAATTATGTAAATTAGTAGCTATAATTTACAGGAAGTGGTGCTCCCTGTTTGATTTATCTTTAAATCATTTTTCTAATTTACCCACAATTTTAAACATGAGTTAGCAGTTTGTGTTTTGATATCCCCAAATTCTTGCATGTAAATCTATGTAAAAGAAATGCCAGTTCTTAGCTAGTGTCATGAATATGTTTCAAAATGTAAACTGACATCTCTCTTTTTAAAATTATCCACAAAATAAATATAGGCTTTTATTCCATTTGGAGTGATTTTTGTATATGATTAGAGTTAAGCATCTAGTATGATTCTTCTGCATGCGGATATACAATTTTCTCAGCACGATTTATCAAAGAAACTATCTTTTCCCCAATGTGTGTCATTGGCACATTTGTGTAAAATCACTTGGCTATATGTATGTTAATTTATTTCTAGGCTCTCTATTCTAATCCATTGATATATGCGTCTGTTTTTATGCCAATACTATGCTGTTTTTGGTAACTATAGCTTTGTAGTATATTTTGAAATCTGGTAATGTGATGCCTTCAGATTTTTTTTTTTCCTTTTTGCTCAGTATTGCTTTGCTTTTCAGGATCTTCTGTGGTTTCATATAAATTTTAGGATTTTTTTTTCTGTTTCTGTGAATGATGTGATTGGTAGTTGCTAGGGGTTGCAGTAAATCTGTATATTGCTCTGGGTATTCTGAACATTCTTCCAATATTAATTATTTCAAGCCATGAAGACGAGGAGTCTTTTTATTTATTTGCATCGTCAATTTCTTTCAGCAGTATTTTATAGCATTCAGTGCAGAGATCTTTCACTTTGATGATTGCTTATTCATAGATGTCATTTTTTGTATATATTTTACATATAACTGTTTTCTATTTCTTTTTCAAATAGCTCACTACTGCTGTATAAAAATACTACCAATTTTTGTATGTTGATTTGGTATCCTGAAACTTTACCTAGTTGATTCATTAATTCCAAATGGAACCATGCCATAGCAGCTTAGATCATGCGAGTGGAGGATGCAGGATATGAGCTTTTAACAACTCTCCAAACTGAATTCAGGGCCCATGAGGACTGAGTCTCTCTTGTAGAAAGGTTGCCTTGTGTCTATGGTTGAAATGGGGACTACGAAGGATCTCTAGTTTATCTTTTTTTTTTTTTTTTTTTTTTTTTTTTTTTTTGAGACGGAGTTTCGCTCTTGTTACCCAGGCTGGAGTGCAATGGCGCGATCTCGGCTCACCGCAACCTCCACCTCCTGGGTTCAGGCAATTCTCCTGCCTCAGCCTCCTGAGTAGCTGGGATTACAGGCACGCGCCACCATGCACAGCTAATTTTTTTGTATTTTTAGTAGAGACGGGGTTTCTCCATGTTGACCAGGATGGTCTCGATCTCTTGACCTCGTGATCCACCCGCCTCGGCCTCCCAAAGTGCTGGGATTACAGGCTTGAGCCACCGCGCCCGGCCTAGTTTATCTTTTTTTTTTTTTTAATTATTATTATTTTTTTTAATTTTATTTTTTTTATTGCATTTTAGGTTTTGGGGTACATGTGATGAACATGCTAGATTGTTGCATAGGTACACACATGGCAGTGTGGTGTGCTGTCTTCCGTCCCCTCACCTGTATCTGTCATTTCTCCCTATGCTATCTCTTCCCACCTCCCCACCCCCCCGCCCCTCCCCCATCTCCCCCCAACGGACCCCAGTGTGTAGTGCTCCCCTCCCTGTGTCCATGTGTTCTCATTGTTCAACACCCGCCTATGAGCGAGAATATACGGTGTTTGATTTTCTGCTCTTGTGTCAGTTTGCTGAGAATAATGGTTTCCAGGTTCATCCATGTCCCTACAAAGGACATGAACTCATCGTTTTTGATGGCTGCGTAATATTCCATGGTGTATATGTACCTCATTTTCCCTATCCAGTCTATCATCGTTGGGCATTTGGGTTGGTTCCAGGTCTTTGCTATTGTAAACAGTGCTACAATGAACATTCGTGTGCACGTGTCCTTGTAGTAGAATGATTTATAATCCTTTGGATATATACCCAGTAACGGGGTTGCTGGGTCAAATGGGATTTCTATTTTTAGGTCCTTGAGGAATCGCCACACTGTCTTCCACAATGGTTGAATTAATTTACATTCCCACCAAGTTTATCTTTTTACTAAAATATATCCTCCCATCCCTGAGCCAGTTCTATCAGGGCAGACAGTGTGTCAGGGGTGGGTGTCTTGCTCCCCTCTCTGTGGTGCTATCCTGGGCTACGAAGTTCTGCAGGGATTTTGCCGGCCCGTGGTGCTCTCCAGCACACCCCCTCCATCGCTGCTGTTGAGGTGCAGTTGTTTACGGAAGCTGTGGTCTGTTTTCTTGGGGCAAATGAACATAAGATATCTGTTCTCATCCCTTTCTCCAGAAAGTATTTATTGAAAAAGTTATTTGATGATGTGATCTCTGAATATTTTTGTTCTCTTCTTTTTAAAACTCTTTTTACACTGACATTATTTTTTTTTGTGTATTTTGGTGGATGCATATATATGCTTCCCCCCCTTAAATAATTTGCTATGCAGCTAATCTGTCTTTCCTGTTTCTCTTGATTTTAGATGTGACCATGTACATGAAAATTTATCAATGGGTTATGAACAGAAGGAATATCTAAATGTGTGGTATATTAATGGATGCAATATATTATATACTTTGGTATATTAAATTAAGTTTTTTTAAAGTTCTGTCATCTTTGGTAATGCCTCTGTTTTCTCTAATTTTCTTTTTTTCTTCTTATTTGTGTTTCTGTATTTTTATGGTAGAAACTGATTTCTTTTTCTAATATTTACTGGTCATAAATGTCCTGGTAATATTTAAAATCAAAGTACTGAAATGTTGAATGGAATGTGGTTGATCATGAGTAGTGTTTTATTTTGTGTTTGTGTGATTGAAGTGTAAAAGGTGAGGATCAAGAATTTATTTTTATAACTAAGAATATTTTTACTTGCTTCATTTATTTTTCCAGAGAAAAATCCTCTAGTCTCACTGAAACATAGGTCTATCAGTATCAATGTTAGATTTTAATAGCTAAATTTTTTAAAAGGTTCTTAGTGTTATAACAGGCTAACTTTGCTTTAAACCTCATGTTTTCTGGTAAAATTTTATCAGTTCTAGAGCAAAAATGATAATATACTTAAAACTGATTTTAAAAAAGAGTTTAATAGTAAGATTATTTAAATAGCCTTGGTCAGGGTTACAAGAATTGAGTAAGCAAAAATTCAGTTACCTATAATTCAATCACCTTTATTAGTAACAATAGACCAGTGAACCAATGTGCAAAGGGAGAGAGCATGTACCAGAACCTGAAGAAGGTAGCTGAATGGAGGAAAGGCAACTCCGTAGTGGTCAAAATGCATCTAGTCAATATCCAGAAGGAAGAGCACCAGGGAAATAGACAGACTCAAAGATGTCCAGCATAACCTTTCCCTCCTGATGCTTCTGATGCTTCAAGGTCAAATCCTCTCTGGGTTAGTATTGCCA